TTTTTGCCGTATGAGTATACGTTGCCCAGAGTGCACCACGTGGAGGTAAGTCTATCGCACACCCCGTGTGGATAAATATAGCTCTTATTAAACCGCTGTCTATGCACATTATTATTGACGGGCAGCTCATGTTGATCTTGACAGGCACATAAAAAGGAAAAGATTGGCACACTTGGTCGATTTGGATCTCTTTCAGCACCATTCGCGGAGACGCAAAAATTATAAGGAAAGAACATAATAGTACTCTTTTTCTAAGACAAAGTTAATAGACTACGAGAGACTGTGCATATAATTGATGTTCACATAAGAAAATCAGAGAATAAAGCGAGTCCAAATGAACACTTAGACATGCAACAGGTGATAAGCATTGAAGATTTTTCAATAAACGTGAAGAGGCTTTATATTGGGAAATGCTGAAGTGTTAAGAATAAGCTGGTAGACAAACACCATAAAGAACATTTAAACTTATGGAACACACAACGCCGTCATCCATGAACAAAGGAAACTCATAAACACTCAGAGAAGCTCGAAAGTGCTGCCGTGCTACTTCGCGTAAGGAGTAAATTTGACCGTAAACGTGGAGACCATCCAACTAACGCCCAATCAATAACCCTCTATTGTAATATTATGCCCAAAATTAATCTCTATAACACACATATCAGATAAACGTATTCACGTGAAAATCTGTTTCTTCTATAGCTTTGAGGTAACTTAACTACAAGTGGAAGCATTTCTAACCTAGGAGAACGTGCCATAGAGATTACTAAGCATCAGTCAAGGCTTATGAATGTGGCCAATCACTATAAGCTTCAAAAATATAATTTGAACAATATGAAACAATTTTACCAACCACTTAATAAGATACTCTTCAAAGAAACAAGTCCATATATACTTGAAAATAAATAATGTGAAGTTCAATAGTAAAATTCGATGAGGAAGTTTATGACCTTTGAAAAAAATATTTTATCGAAATCAAATGTTCTGAAATAAGGATTCATGGCAAGAAAATTAAGCATGCTTTGACAATGATCTCTAAATTTCAAAATATCTTTTTAAAGAAAAAATATAGTCAGATAAATTAATTTATATAAAATATGATTAATTTAATAGTAACTATAGTTTTAACTTACTGATCAATATGTCTATACTTTAAATAACAAAGATCATCCAATGGACGCGAGGGCGCTTCTGAAGGCGTCTAAACTTGGTTCAAGGCGAATTGAACACCCACATATAAAGTGAGATCAAATAATTTGTAGTAATTTATTTCAGATATAATTCATTGGGTAAAATCTCGTGCATTGTTTGTGGAGTTCCAATTAAATCTGAAATTACTTGGAAGGCACATATTTTGAGCAAAACGCATAAGGAGGTATAATTTCTATTTTTAAAAGTGAATTTATAATTTTAGAATGCTGCTCGTGGTACAGATGCTCTTAAAAGGATTCACGATCAGGTAAAAAGCCGTGATCTTCCTGCAAAGGTAACAGTTTATTTTCCAATTCCAGCTATGTTTTAGCGACCGAAGGTAGAGGTTGTTAACAAAACTATGGCGGATTTTGAATCCAGTGGCTCTGAACTTAAAGGGTCAGAATTCAAGATCCCAGATGTTCCACATGAAGAGAAGCCTAAAAAAGAAGAAAAAACCGAGGAAGTGCAGAAAGGAGTTCTGCCTGAAGGATTTTTCGACGATGCGCGAAAGGATGCAGAAGCTCGACATGTACCTTTTCGAGACAAGATGGATGAAGAAATGGAAGCTTTCCAAAAGGAACTCGGGGCTCTTAACCAAGTTTGTTTATTTTGTCAATTCCAATTCCTTTATTTTACCTTTTAAATAAAATTTATTTTTGATTATTTTCCCTACATTGTTTGTCAGGCGTGTGAATATTAATTTGTTTTAGAAGTAGAAGTTAGTTGTTTCTCGATGAAAGTAAATTTTTATGTCACCCGAAAAGACACTTAAACTCCTTTTATTATTGGCTATCACCCATTTGTCCTACTTGCGCTTATTCGTTTTGCCATCTTTCTCCCTTGACTGTTCTTTTGGATCGCTTGTTCTAACGTTGTGTTTTAGTTTGCAGTTTTATTCTTATCACACCGAGTATGAAGGAAAAGATTGCTCGTTGGTCTGACTGTTTGAATTCCACATGTCTGCTATTTCCAACTATCTGTTGGAATTCCACTGATATTCATGTTGTTTGGGGCGTGTATTTCGCTTATTCGTTCAAGGCATCCGGGTAATGAGGGCTCATACATTAAACTTAACTTTATGTTATTGTTGAACCGACCAGCTTAGTAACCAAGGTCTGCAAAAATTCAAATCTTCGCTTCATGTTGCTAATAGTACTGTTTATTGATTTCCTTTTTAGGAATCGGATCAGATACTTGAAAAAGACAATGAAGAAATGGTTGTGGCGAGAAATTTAGCTGAAGTTGACAAGCAAATGTAAGTCATTTTTTAAATTCCTTTTTATAACTCTGAAATTTTTCAAGTTATTCATATTTATACTAAAAACTGTAGTTTAAAAGTTTTCTAATCAGGTATATTTTTTCGATTACTTATGTTTGTCCATTCACTTACTCTTATTAGTGCCTATCCATATTGTTTTTGCCCATACCCCTTCCGGTGGATATCTCCTAATAATCTATTACTCGGTGCTTGAAATAGAATTGGAGAGTTTGTAGTCTATCTCTCTTTTCATGGCTTATTAGCATTTTGGTGCTCTTCATTCTGCTTTCCTTAGTCTCCTACCTGTCACTTTTCAATAACGTTGGTACTGATGTGAAATAAGTAGTTGCTATTTAACTGGTACTGACCATTACCCACTTCTTCCTTGTAGGGCGATGTGGGAGAAGGTCCATGAGCTGGAATTACTCAAAGAAGCTCATCTTGCGAGGAAGAAAATAGTAAAATCAGATGATGCACCAAATGTCAAGGAAGAGGCCGAAATAGATGAGGATGACAGCGATATTGATGAAGATGAACTTAATGACTTCAGGTTCAGGGCTAGTGTTCGATAAATCTACTCTTATAGTAAAATGAAGCATATGTACAGTTAATAAATTGTATAAGTTATGAATTTATTACTTTTGTTGGCTATTGTAATGGCAAAGTGCTGTAAGACCTATAATGAGTGCAAAGAATAAGTGAAAATATCATCATCCTTGGTTAACCATAATCCCCTTCCTCAAAGGAGTATGTATCCACCGTTCTGTCCGATGACTCCACTGGCCTCCCTTCTTTAACTATCCCGTTAGCCGAGGTTGCTGGCTTTACAACGTATGTATTTGTTAGGTTGACCTATTAAAGCCAAAATACTAATGTGATTATGGATAATAGGAATACCCTGTAGTCTCTCATTAACCGGTTAGGCATCATTTCGCCATAATACTTTTTCATCTATACTTTTGTTAGTTCAATAAGAAATAGGATTATCAATCAGCTTCCCAGATGTTAATGCTTCGAATTCGAAATCTATAGAATTAGATCATGATGCAAATGACGGAACACAGAGTTATCATTAAAAATAAAGCGAAACCAAGTTTATTTTATTAATGGCTTCCAAACGTCTTAATTGTGCCTAATCACAACTCCATTGCTTTTTAAATAAACAATGCTGTAATAAATCGCCCTTCCATACGTGTCCTTAGTTACAAATTGTCTTATAAGTAGAGACTTATATTATTCCACTGAGAGCTAAAGTAACAAGAAAGTTGGAGAGGTGGAGGACGTGAAAAAAAGAAGAAGATCCAGGTTTTGAATAATTTGAATTCTAAATTTGGGTGCGCGATAGACTTATCTCAACGTGGTGCACTCTGGATATCGTATACTTATACGGCAAAAAGTCTACAAACTGACAGTTGACTTCTGACTTCAAACAACCATGACGCCACTGTATACCACTGTAGTACCCACCTTACCTTTTTTCCCTACTTTTGTGTCTGTGTCTTTTACATATATGAATAACTCTTCTGTTCGTCCTCTCTG